CTGAAAATAAACTAGTCTGCAAAAGATTACTCCTCCTCAAATTATAAGGGCTTAAGCATAAGTGTGGATCGTAAAGAGAAAGATTGTATATCTTTTGATAAGAGATTTTAACCTCATAGGGTCAGTATTGTTCCAAATCTATTTTGCTATTGTGATCCCTTTTATGTATTAGCAATGTAATCACTTCTCTCTGAGATTGCATAAATGTATATTTTGTGAAGTTAGATGTGTATTGTACCGTGTGGTCATTTATTGTGATCGTTGCTCACAATTTATTTATTGTCCAGCTGCCATGTGTCATGTGTGTGTGTGTGTGTGCTGTGTGTGTGTGTGTGTGTATTTGTCCCGCCTCTAGTGATCTTTTTGTCGATGGTGTGTGATCTGTGTGTATATTGGTGTAATATCCACCTCTTGAATATGACCTATTCCATTAAGTAGTTTTTATTATCTTGCCAGCCTATTGAGATTTGAGCCAGCTTGCAGTGCCTTAGTTGGAAGCAGTGCTAATATAAGAATAATTTTCCCAGCAGACCTTTCTTGTGGGTGATATGTACCATATACATATTTTTCGCCATAGTGGCGGGAGGTGAAGGTGTTCGTGGATATGAAAGCTGTTCCATCAGCTATTGGTTGGCCACAGCCAGCAAAATTACTTGTGGATTACAAAGAGAATAATGATTATAGAGTAGTAATGAGTAGGATGATTGTTGTGCGTTGAACGCCCATGGTATGTTGATACCTTGCATTGTACGTAATATTTGCCACTATGTTGTTATCTATATTCAGTGTAATCGGCTGATCTGATGGGTGTCCCAGTTTAACAGTGTTAGAACAATAGAATAGTTCTTATATTTCTAAATCCATTAGTCCTTAATTACAAAGGTAAAAAGTTATGACATCACGTGGTAAGTGAGACAATTAAAGTGTGGGAGCAGGAGAGACAGGGGGAACAGAGGTTTAGAGAGAGACAGAGTCGAAACACGCGGGGGCAAAGACCAAAAGATAAAGGAACAAGAGGACAGGGGACATAGGCTGACAAGAGAGAGAGACGGGAACCAGTAAGGACAGAGAAGACTAGTAGGCGACAGACGAGAGTCGATGAGAGACAAAGGAGAAAGTCAGAGAGATAAATCCACATCTACATTATCAGAACAGCAGTTTAAAACATGATTCAATCAACCAAATCACCCAGCATAGTTCAATTTCAACGAATAACATAATTAACATGAAGTTTCAATATCAATTCCAGAAATGTGGTCGACATCATGCTGATTATAATCTCCTATTTTTGAAACGGAGTCAGAAGAGTAGATTCATGCCAAGTGCTTTCGTTTTCCCAGGTAAGAGAACATTATCTTTGCTTTTTTTATCTACTTTATCACGTATCAAAACTATCAGGGTTATGAATTATTATAATTAATTATGTAATATGAAAGACTTATTCTTATTCTTTTGCTCTTTCTCCTTAGAATTTGTTTTTCATTGTAGGTGTCTGTTTGTAATGTGATGAGAATCAATCAGATTTCTCCGGCATGAGATCCTCTGAAGTTTTTGAAAAATGTCGGTTCTCATCTAGAAGCTCATAGAGAACTTCTTGGATGACTTTGATATCTTCATATCATACTCTTTAGATATTTCCAAGAGAGATACTTTTTTGAAGACTGAGAAATTAGATACTAAGTCGATATTGAACAAATGGATCAAGCTTGGATTAATCAATTTGATAATATTTTTATATGTTGTGTCGCAGCTATTTTCGCCGTTTTACAATGATTATAGCTATCTCTTCGTGCTCATGCATGTCTTTTGATAGTTTGTGTATTGCATGAATCCGTGCGTTAGAGACAATCATATAAATTCGTTCTGTGTATTGGTTTTTGTTCATTAACATTGTCAATGAGTTAAATAATCAACAAGTTTTATATTTTATCCTATTCAACATGATACCTATACTTATCTTTTACTATGAATATATAGTATTAGATAAATTATGTCAATAGCTCCACTCATACGTAGTTATAATATACATGGTGTTTATTTATTTGAGCTTATGTTTCTCTGCAAATTGCTATGACCAACTCGAATTTAATTTGTCAGTTTTCTTTCCTTTTGTATGACAGTGTTGTTTCTCTGGTTGAATAGAGGTGAATACCTGTCCGACTGTGGGCATAATTTGCAGATAATTCGTCGATGATATCAATTTTAATGCCCTGTTATTTCTGCTCATTCCTCCTTAATACCTATCCCCAATAATGATCTCCCAATTCTAAATTCCTTGCGTGCCAGCAGTAGACACCAGTGAATGCGCACTATTGAAATAAAGTCGGGATTTAAGGTGGATTCCATTAGTGAAAACCAGGAACTCTACTGACATAACTTATTGGAGTGATTGCATATGAGGACAAGTCTGTCTTTATGGTTGCCTGTATCGCTCCTCCCGCGATCCAGCAATTTCTTGGGGTGGATGAATTTCTACCCAATTTTTCCCTCTTCGGGCAGG